ATATTATTTATTTAATATATTTAATAATATTATTTATTTAATATATTATTACATGTTTTTAAAAATTAAACCACCAAACGCAGTTTCAATTTTTTTTAAAACTGAAATCAATCTCTAAATAAAACTACTAAACGCATTTTCAGAAATAATTCAAAAATGAAACTAAAAACTTTTTCATTTTCATTTTCCTACAGAAAATAAAAACGTTTTGGAATCAATTCCAAACGCACCCATTATGTCCATAGTCCATACTCCATAAAAGACAAATAACGCAAATACTCGTTTTTAAATTGGTTGGTCGAGATTCTTTGTCTTCAGTCAAGTCCCCAATGTTGAAGACGAAAGTACAAAAGCATGCCGAAAAAAAAAGTAAAAAGAAAAACGTTAAAAGTATGGTGTTTTGGGAACATTATCAGGCTGGTTGTTGATATTAGAGTGCTTTGGCAACGTAAATTTCACGGATAAGCAAATCACAGTTTTCAAAGGATGTAGGTAATGTAGCTCTGGTCTCTCTCTCTCTCTCTTAAATATCAAGAGCAATGATATGCACAGTGAAAAACTTTTATCATAAATATATATATATATATATATATCAGTATACTCGTTGAAACTATATCATCATCATTATCAAAGCACATTTCCGATACAGTCCGCTACACGAATTCCGGCCCTTCGAGCAATGCGGTCTTCCCACATATCCAAACTATATATAAATTTTAAATCTTAAAAAAATTCTGTAGCTTATAAAATTAAAATGGATAATTTTACATCTGATTGGACCGCAAGGTGTAAAATTTAAATCCTCACCCTTAAATTTTAAAAAATAATTAGTAAAAAATTTATTGTTTAATCTGTATCTTATTAATCCCTAAAAAAAATAATAAAAAAAATTTATTCTAACTTCATAATCTATAAAAACAAATATTTTTCACGACATTATCATTTTCTGTATGGAAATTACTCAAGGTCAAGGGTATTTTATGTTTATGAAATACAGGCCCAAAAAAAATATTAGAAACTTGACTTTTATGACAGGTTGGCAGCGTGCCAATGTCATTGTCATTGCAACTAGGAAGCCATCAGCTATATTTAATATCGCCTTTAATTACCCAGTTTCTTTCATCCAATTAACGTGTAATTAACGGACATTGAAAAACCTTTGTAGTAACGTGTAATTAACGGACATTGAAAAACCTTTGTAGTAACGTGTAATTAACGGACATTGAAAAACCTTTGTAGTAACGTGTAATTAACGGACATTGAAAAACCTTTGTAGTATGGACCCACACAACAATTTCAACCATTCAACACGTGCAGGCCATTTCAATCTACCACATATGGGCAGATTTCATTAGCTGTCGATAATTCCACACTTTTCAAGATGATGGAATTTAGGCCCGTTTATTTCGCTGATTCGAGTTTAGAATTCAAGCTTTGTTACAGTAAAAAGCTCTCATAAACAATCACATCTAACTTTTTTACTACAGTAAAAAGCTCTCACATAAAATCACATCTCAATTCGAATTAAAAACTCGAATCAGCGAACTAAACGGGCCCGCACTCTTCCTAAGCTTCTCATTCATAACATCAGAACTTAAAAAAAAAATCCACCAACTTTTATCCAGAATATGCTCTGCTCTCTTGAGTTAAAAATCGAAATGAAACTCTGTTTTTTCCTCAATAAAAACATCGTAAATATTGTCAAAGTTCGTTTGTTGAGTGTTTTTTCCTTTAGTAAAAACATCGTAAATACTTTCAGAGTTTGTTTATCGAGTGGAGACAGATATTTAACATATAGTATCCAAGGTTTGACTGGTGCACCATAAAATTAATTTGTTTTTCTCTCTTCCCTTACCAATACTATACATAACGTAGTTGGACTTTTATAAGACAATTACGTACGTAAACAATAACCAAATACTGATTAAAAAATAAGAATAAGAAGAGGTAAACCAATAACAGCGAAGAGAGAGAATGTTGAGATGAAGACTGATCCCAAGGGGGGTGGGGGTGGGAATGTAAACAAGAAAATATAATTTATGTATATTAAACTCCACAAAAGGCCTTTTATTCCACTTAGTACTGCTACTAAATATTGACCAAAATACTGCTAATGCAGCAAGGAACAACTGACATTAAACGTATAATAATATAGTCAGTTGGGCATGGTGCGCATGTCACACATATTGAAAGACAACTACTAATGGGTCAACTTTAGCCCAACTCCGAACCATAACATGCACTGCATTTTTCAGCGGTACTAATGGGATATAAAATTTGAACAAAAAACAAAAAAAAAGGTTGAAAATGACATGGGATTCTAAAGCAACCAAAGTCCAAATGATTACTTTTAGAACGGAAAATTTCAAAGCAAGGGCAAGAAAAACATGTGCCTTTACTTGGTCAAGCTTTTAAATGAAATCTTTATTGCAAAGGATTGGATAACGACAACAAAAATGAGTAACTGATTGTCATGAAAAATATAAGAAAACACGGTATTTAGATTTCGTTTTGAGTCGGAAACCAAAGTGGCTAAATCCTTGGAATGTGGTTTGTCAATAGCACACCATAAAGGGATCAGAAAAAATCAACATCATTGGGAGAGTCATATCCTGGACACGATTTTAACAAAGCAAGGCTTCCTTCCGCATAATGCATGAGAGGAGAGTGGAAACAAAAGTCTATAATGTTGGTTTATTTTATTTTTTTATCCTTTTTTTTTTGTTTTTGTTTTGAGCTTGAAAAGGATTGGTCCGAAATTTAGATAAACTTTGTTTCTGAGCTGACAATTCCAATAATGGAACACATCATGAACCGGTGACATTGAGTAAAATTAAGGGAACAGAAATTCATCTTAAAAGCACCAAAGAGCCTAACGCAAAAATCAAAGAATGTATATAGGATACAAGTTACACACACTAAATCAACAATTTAAAACTTCTTCGGAGCACAATAGAAAAGAGGAAAAGAAGAAAAAAGTTTAAGAAGAATCCTAACAGCAGGAAACGGGGGTAGGGCATTTGGGATTCAAGCATTATGATTGTGATCTTTTTTCCTTATAACTGATGAGCAAAAGTGATGCTACTAAATATATGAGATGAGGACGCCACGTTAAAAACTCAAATAACTAGTAAAGATGTTGAATGAGATGAATCATTACAAGAAACAACTAAAAGAGCCAAGAAAAAAAAAAATGATAATCAATCAACCTAGCATACAAAATGGTTGGCATGCTCAACTTTCATAAATTGTCTTTTTCCTCAAAATGGCTAAAAATATCCCAAATCAAAGTTATGCCAAGTGAACCAACAGGAGATAAAAATAAAAAGGTTGATGGCATCAAACCTGCATGAACAGTAAGCTCGACGGTTTTCAGTTCCTCGTTCGTAACAGCAAAGCAAAAACTTTGATGATATCTTCAAGGCTAGGATATTCTCAGCAAAGAAGTAGGCAAGCTGCAATTTCGGTCTGAATTGTGGGATTATAGTTTACCTACAAAAAGCAACACTCATGCAGGTTATTACTGAAATCAACAGCAAATTGATGGATGCTGAAACGTCAACAAACAATACCTGCATCTTGCCGAACAACCTAGGTAATGCATCAACAAAATTCAAAATGAACGACAAAGACTTAACATGTTGATTAGGCAATATTTACTCAGAGTTGGTGGCTGAAACTGAGTGTGAAAAGTGCTTAAGCAACCATCATAGACTTAGAAAACAACACCAGCACCAAAAACAAAAAAGAGAAACAATCATCTCAATAAAAATTCGAGTAAGAGAAATAAAGTGAAAAGATATCTGTCAAGAAACACACATGTGAATTGGACCATACTTTATTATGGCTACTAATGACACTGTGACATAATTGATATAGTGTCCCATATAAGTCAACAAAAATATCTACTAGAATGCATACTCCACTTTTCTGTGATAAAGAAAGGAATTGAAGAGATACATCATGAAGAATTTTGCCACTAAACTGTGGAAAGAAAAGAATCCAATATCATTCTATGATGAAAGTTTCGATCAATTATACAGCAAGAAGGCGTTCACAAGGGAAGAAGAATCAATAAATTGATAAATTGCTGTCTAAGTGAATTTCAATGATACACAAGTTACAATTTTTTTGGCACAAAATGCACCATTAGTTACAAGTTTCAGGATGTGCATTCCTGTCGAGGCAATTACAAGCAGGATGTAGATCCGCCGATAAGAAGAGATCATCTCAATCCATCCCATGAAGCTGATACCGCAGTGACTGATTATCCAGCTTGCTTCAACCACTTTTTATAAAGAATCCTGCCTCCTCCATCAATCACCTTCAAATCAATATGGTTTGTTCTGTTTATTGTCTCTTTTAAGCTGAACCTTTAATTTCTTACCACCTAACTGGAATCCGTTCATCATGCTAATGGCAGATTGAGCAGCTTCGGGAGAGTCATAACTTACAAAACCTGCATATAAAGGCCAATAAGCGATAGAGATCATTGTGTAACTTGTACCAAAATCAGAGTAATCAGAGACTGCCCTCACCGAAACATTTACTGACGCCAGTTGCTTTATCGACAAAAACCTTGGCACTTAAGACCCTACCAAAAGGTTGAAAAGCATTGGCAAGATCTTGATCTCCAAATTCTTGAGGTATATGATAAATAAATAAATTAGCACCAGGTGGACCTAAGTAAATAGAACATAGAATAATTAAAATACCACCACCAAACACTTTACATCCAATAAATTCTTTTCTTCTAATAAAAATAATATATGTAACCACCTTCAACCTGACCCCCGGAACCTTTACTTGACCCTGGAGATGTTGCAGAGTTACTGTTCATAACTGCTGGTGGCATGGACCCAGGTGAACCACTTAAAGGTCGGTGACTCATCATTCCTCCTGGATATGCCATTGGATGCTGAAGGCCCGGCATTCCAGGATAAGCTGATCCCACAAAATTTGGAGGCGGCATACCGTAATTTCTAGGGGTCATATTTGGGGGAAGATCAGGACTGATTCCACGCAATGCATTTCCTTGGTTTATTGGAGGTATCATATTGTGAAAGCCAGGTTGATTCTGCATTGGTGAGAGGCGGTACTGCATGAGGCCATAAGTTCCAGGACCCTAGAAAGAACAGAAGTCATATATTAGACCTTTTCAAATGCAAATATAGACTTGATAAAGTGTTATATAATGAGAATTGATTCCACATAGGCATCACGATACTTAATACTGGAGCAGAGTTACAGTTATGCTACTCGTTTCTGTTCACAGCCATAAAACAAGAGAAGTCCTTTTGCCTATGGACGGAATAAAAGATAACAAGATTAACCTGGTAACCATAACCATTATATGGAGGAACGTAACCCATTGGCAAGGCTCCAAATAACGAAGGATGTTGATTATCGGAATTTGGCAAATTGGAAACCTGGGATTGAGCTTTCTGAGCTTTTCGAGCTTGCCTTTCTTTTTCTGTATCTGCCCATTTGACAACCAATGGAACACTTGAACCCTGACGGAGCAAAGGTATCAGTCAGATTACAGAATTCTTTACCACACTCATCCTTCGCTCCCAAATACAGACTAATCCCTTGTAATTTATGAAAGAGAAAATGCCTTATGCCAGAAATGAAATTCATATCATCAAGGACGCCAAAAAGTTTTATACTCCCTACTAAAATTTTCAGCGCTTTGACAATATTACCATCTTAAACACATGTGGAAGAGCCATAAATTTTACTCTAATCATATTCCATAGCAAAAGCGGGAAGTTTAAGAAACATGGACAGGATAACAAAGTTTAAGAAGAAGATAAGCCGACAACATGTGTGCATGTGGACCGGCAGACTAAAATTCAGAGTCTACACCTTTTGCATACAAATGATACTTGAATACTTGAGTTGAAGATAAAAATAAAACTGTAACAGCATTTCCAATTAAAATGACTACTCTTGCACGAAATTATTCCCTGACAATATCTTCTGCTTCAAAAATATTCAAAACCATATTTGATTATCAGTTAATTCCATGAAAAGAGGTCTAACACAAATGGCTTCCTAAGATTTTGGAAAGTGAATTTTTAAAGACCAGAATGAACATTAAACACAAACCTCCATTTTGTGCTTTCCATTGATGGCCTCCAGGGATGCAAGAGCTTGTTCTTTTGTCTCATACTTCAAAAATGCACAACCTTTCATATTTAGAGAACAGTTTGATTTAGTTGAGAAACCAACTGTAGCTGTAGGCTTAAAAGTTCCCAAACAATAATGCCACAAAATATGTACCTTTGCTTGTTTGCTGAGAACCTCTTAATATTTGCAAGTCCTTTATAGTTCCATACTTAGAGAAAAGAGCAGAAACATCAGCTTCTGAAACATTCTTTGGAAGCATACCAACAAAAAGCTTGTGTTCTGGATTGCAGCACAATCAGATAATAATTATCAAAACCCATCAAATATAAAGCATTATTTACATCTGAAAAAAATACAGCTTACAATGACAAAGAAACAACTCAAAGAAACCCTTTAAAAGGACACAATGTCATATGGAATTATATTACACCTAGCCTTTCCAACTCGCCATCTGCATACTTCACTTGCAACGGGGTAGATGCCTGAATTGAACAAAAAGAACAGGATGCTTTCCGATCAAACTAAGAGAAAACGTGAACACACAACACAACAAAGAAACTTTAAGTCGCACAAAATTAGTGCCTAGCCTAAAGCAATAATGCAGGGAACTAAAATCTAAGTTTTCTACATTTTCTATCGAGCTTATTTTTTACAAGTGAACAAAAGTACATCTTGCATTGACCAAATCACAGTTCAATTGTGCAGGCATAGGCAAGAACCCAGCTGAGAAGCTTGCCTGAGCAACTGCTTGATTGTCCAGCAAGGCCTATATAGGCTCCTCAAGTCACTCTACTACCTAGACCAGGAAAATGCCAAGTTGCATAAGCACATATCTTGTACAAGAGTTATCCAAACATCATGCTCTAGCAATAGTTGGTGGTGGGTAAGCCATTCCATAACTAAATTATTTATAGTAAGAATAACTGCCAAAATAGAATAGTTGAAATTTATGTTTTAAGAGCTTGGATTGACTTATACCTCCTCTATCACTCTTGTAACCTTTTAAACGAATTATGTGTTCCAATTATGGTATATCATTTATCATATATTTGTTTCCAAAATGCAATGCAGAAGCGTGGTTGCAGCATAGCTTAGTGGTAATTCTACACTTGATTCCACCGTACAGTGAAGAGTTCGATACCCCCACCTCTAAATTCAGAAAAAAAAAAAAAAAAAGCAATGCAGAAGCACGCATAATTATGTCAAGTCTCAACCTTTTCTCGAGTAGTGCAAAATTAGTAGGTTATGCAAAATACCTTATCAGTTGTGAACACCAGTTATGCATGGTCAACGGCAAAAATAGCAATAAAATTTAGTCCATTAATATCCAACATGAAGAAATAACTTAGTAGGCATGAATTAGTTGCTATTCTAATAGCGAGATCATCACAAATATTCTCGAGCCTAAGTGTCGCGAGAAGGATAAAACTGATGTTTACTTAAGAGGCAGTCAAAATCAGTAATTTGACTGTTGGGAATGAAGATTCCGACCACTCTTAATCACATGATTCCATAATTAATCAACAAAAACACCCAAAAAAAAAAAAAAACATAGCAGCCCATAAACAGAGATCGTAGTTCCACTAACCCCAGGCAAAGTTTTCTTATTATGACACGCATTGACCGCTTTATCAGCCTCCTGCCTCGACGGACATATTACGAAGCAACAACCTGCGAAACAAAAAAACAGAGAATCAAAACAAATGAAGGCAGCCAGAGGTCCGACTAGGGTTGCGAAACACGAACTGGAACCCTAAATCTCGACAAAAAGACCTCTAAATCACGCGAATCACAGGCATTTTCGAAACCGAAACAGGAATTCAAGCGAAAGGAAGAAGACGAGCAGAGAGAGACGACGGTCAATGTAAACGCGGGAGATTCAAATTGGAGAGGAGGAGAGAAGGCCCAGACCTCGAGAGGCGCGCGTGACCTTGTCCTTGATGATGTTGACCTCGTCAACCAGAGCGAACTCTTGGAACATTGCGAGGAGCTGAGCTTCGGTCATGTTCTTCGGCACCTGCCCGACGAACAGCTTCACGCTCTCCTCGCTGCCGCCCGATTTCCTCTCCTTCTTCGCCTCCGCCATTAATGTCCGAGCTCTCTTTCTCTCTCCACTTTCTCTCTCTATAGGGATTTCCTCGTGGAGTCGTCGCAGGAGGGGGAAAATTTAGGGGTTTCACGATGGCAAAGTCGGATCTTCATCCTTTTCATTAGACGTATAATAATGATTATTTTATTGATCCGCTAATCTTTCACCCCCGGATTCTACCGTTATTTACGGAAGTGGCATAACAGCTGTCTCTGTCCGCCTCCTCGTGTTGGAACGGTTGTACTTGTACAGCTCGACTTGTAAGCCGAGATTTTGTAATTCTGAGGTATTTTCCATGAAATGACGGTTTTAGCCCTCGCCTTGTCTTTAACGGCGAAGCATTGTGGTGGGGGCCATGCAAAGCTGCAATATAACATTCTATCCAAATAAGGAAAAAAGTAAAAAAGAAAGAGAAAATACTGCATAATTGCATATTATGACTCATTCACTTTGCATATTTAAATTTTTAATTCGAATTGAGATGTGATATTTTTTTAGAGTTTTTCACTTTAGTATAAAAAATTAGATGTGACATTTTTTGAAAAATTTTTATTGTAAAAATTTAAAATTAAAAACTCAAATCAGTAAAATGAACGAAACCATGTATTTCTTATTTCGGATAAGCAAGTGGAGTTATTTTTTTTTCTTTTCTTTTTTTAATATTTTTATTTTTTGGTTGGAAATATAACAAAGTGGAATTATTAATCATTGTAATTCATGCAATAAAACAAAAAATGTTTATCACGTCATTTTTTTGATAATTTATATCAGGTCGTATTAATTAATAGAATATTACCAGTATTTTTTTTCTCATTGTGTTGAATAATGCAGGATGGTCAACCAAGTTGGAAAATTCAAATCCAAAGGGGATGCCAGTTATGAGAGCTATTTTTTTAATTCATCATCCAAGTAAAATAAACAAAACTTTACTCTTTTTGTTGTTCTGGTTTATTCTACATAAAATTATGTTCTTCCACGGTGAGATTTCGTATTGATGGTGTACATTTCGGACAATTGAATTCAGTCTATATCACATTAAAAATTCTTAAAAATACAAAATATTAGATAATTAATGTTTAATACATATCTAACGATTAAAAAAATGTACTGATAATTTATCGTAAAAATCTTCAAATTATAAGCCACAAAATTTATAAGAACTGAGCGAAAGAGTTATGAATGAGAAAAGACAAATACTTTCATAATTGTGAAGTGCTTGAATATCTTTTTAGAAGTATCTATGCGATTAGAAAAAATAAACTACTGATAATTTATTATTTTTAATTATTAAATTTACATTAAAAATTATATGTTATTTTTACAATTTGATTTAATTTTAACCATATTTAACGGTCAAAAATTAATCATATCATAAAAAATCTCATCTTTTTTTATCACTTTCTGAAATTTGAAATCTTCACAAAAAAAAAAAAAAACAAAAACAAAAACAAAAGGTATGTCCTAAAAATCAATCTTTTGCTCAAAGTTGGAGGGGAGCTTGTCAGTTGTCCCGACCAGACACTGCAATTAAAAGAGGAAGACATATATCCCCATTCACGTTTGGCTTTTGGCTTTTCTCTTTTCACGGTTGTTTGGTTGTTTGATTTGTTATCAGCACATCCTTATGATGGCTTTCATTTTACAAGAGGGTGCTTTTTGGAATATTCTCAATGGAGCCCTCGTAATGTCCACACACCACTTCCATTTTTGGAAAAGAGATTAATTACTATTACTTGTGTTGTTCGATTAAATACTACTTTAATCAGAGCTCCTTTTTTATTTTTTATTTTTGCTATTTTTTTCCCATTGTAAGTCATGACGTCCTAATGCTAAGTTGTATGGTCATGGAAAATACTATAATAATTGGTAGATTGAATTTTATATGTTTGTGAGCTTGACAACTGAAAGTTGAGATTTTGATTACACTAATGATCTCAAGAGAGCTCTCAACACGCGTTCAATAAGTAAAAATAATAAAATTAGATAATTAATAAGCAAAAAATAATTAATTAAAAAACAGTTTAAATATTTTATATAACATGACATGATATTATTAATTAGATATTAAAATTAGACATAAAATTTGAATCCACAAAATAAACTCTATTGGCAGGGCATATTTTTTTATCTTTTTTTTTGTCAAATTGGCTTAAATCAGTGTACTTTTCTAATTTAGTTTAGTATGATATAATCATTTAGAACCGTGGTCTACAGTAATTTATCTAAAAAAATGTTAGAACAACATTATCTATCAAACTCTTCAACGATCAATATGAATGTGTAGACTGTAGAGCCATTTTTGTCAGAACTCGAGTAGTTTCTTGAAAACTCACTTTGAATATAAAACTCATTTAGAGATGCTTTTATTGTTCTCAATAATACATATCAGGAACAATTTGCTTCTTCCAAATCAATCCAACTAATTTTCTAAGGGTGTGTTTGGTTGCAGTGGAGGAATGGTAATAAGAATGGTAATAGAATAGAATGGAAATGAAAGTTAATTCATTTGTTTGGTTATACTTTTACAAATACAATAGAATGGGATATGAATATTTTCATGTTGACAAAATTACCCCTCATGTTAATATAACTAATATCATATATATATTAATATAATCATTGAATAACTAATATTATATATGTAAAATTATAAGGATATAATATATGTAATTATAATTATAGTTATATAATTATTTATTATTATAATACAATCATAATATATAATATATAATGATATATAATATAATAAAATA